TGTCAATACATCTTCTGCATACCCGTTCAACAATGGTTTTCCTGCTTGAATACTTTTTCTACTTTTCGATTCTGTAGATGATACGATATCAAACAAAACCTATTGCATAGAATCAAAGAAATCTTTTTCAAAAACAAGCCTTGTTATAGGCCCTGTTAAAATGTATAATGAAAATGCGACTCACGTGTCAGCTTGGCTGTGAAGAATGCAATTAAGCTTGCTGTCGGGGGAAAAGAAATGACCTTACGTACAACCTAATATGTCAAAATGCTACAGCCAGGCAAAGGCGGCTATTAGTTAGCCGACATAAGTTAAGTATTTATTAAAAGTTGTTCGGCCGCTAAAGATCAACTCTAGTACTATCCCTTTCCCTGCGGTACGAAGCTTAGGCACTATCTATAAGCTTACGTTAACATTCCTCGATTCTTTGATTTTTCAATATATATGCGGCAAGCATTCCTACCATTTTCCATATATTTGGTAGTGCGAGATTATCTGGATGAAGAAACTCTCCAATCTCCATCTATAGTTTCTCCCGTTCGTTAAGGTATTTCGAATAGGCAAAAAGCACATGCTCAGCGGATTTCGTAAGGTGGCAGACACTGTGCAAAGGGCTAGCTACGTTTTTTAACCGATTTAAGTGACTACGAAAGCATCCATAACCAATGAGCAGTTGACTGATATAGAAGTCTATCTCAGCGTTTTGCCTGAGAGTTAACGGTTATCCATCTATCTTTTGCGGGTCTACTCCACCACACCTGTTCAACGAAATTACTTAAATATCTTTCCGCTCACTAAAGATTCAAATGCAGTGAAGTGTTGCGTGTGTACTTCGAATTTTATTCCTATGCATTGGTGACTTTACGGCAAATAGGAAAATTACAACTCACTTTTATCGCTCTCTCTCTCTCTCTCTCTCTCTCTCTCTCTCTCTCTCTCTCTCTCTTCATCTATAGTACGTTCTTTTGTCTCCTTAATTATCGCAATGTATGACAAACAAGCACCAAGCAATCCAATGTTCCTTTGATAGGTCAAACTTTATATATTTGAAGATAATACATTTTTAAATGTTTTTGAAGATCGCTTACTAACTAATAGTAAATCCATCAGCAAATTTGTATAAGACCAGACTTGGGGCATGTGATCCCTCAAATCTGTGGTTCAAGGTTGCATACTCAGCTCAATCCAGATATTCTCATCTCGAGCAAAAGACTTCGGCATGTTGTAAGATAGCCTGGGCAATGCGCGTAATCTCTTTTAACTAAACCATTTTAGGCATATGGAGCATTTGGAGAGATTGCAGAGAGCATGGTGAACAAAAATGAACTTCATATTGGTCAAGTATTACTATATCTTATGATGTCTCAGATGCGTATTCGTTCGTCTTACAACCGAAACATATTATATGTAAGAAAATTGTATATGTAAGGACACCTGGCTGTACGCATACAACATATATATGCATATATATGTCAATGTTCGGAACGAAGCTGGCTTTTATATGCACTCGTCTTAACTTATTCAGGTAACAATTGCGTTAGATTTAAGGAATCTACAAAGGTTTAACTTTAACACCGCAAGCTACGTTATGCGTAAGTGTGATTACAGTGTAGTGAAAAGTTTCAAGTGTTGTGTGTATAGTTGCAGGTGGTTTTTGTTACTGGCTAAAATTTTACATTTTGCTAACGCATTACTTTTACATTTGCTTTTCATTTCCTTAACCCAATATCGAAGCTTAAAGGTTTCCACGTTTGCTTATATCGTATGTAACACATTTATGCTTTTGATTTGAGATACTGACGGCTGACGGTTCAGCCAATTGTGTCTGTTCCCGATATGTGTTACTTTTTGTAAAATTATTAATCTTTCCCTAAGATCTTGTTTCAATTTAATTCGTGTGAGCATGACTTTACCAGAATTTCGGGAAAATCGAGTGGACCACCTCGCAAAAGGACGGAAAATTTTTGTATCACATTTACAATTTTATTCATATATATATAAATATATATATATATAATATCGAATGTTCTTTATCTTCACAACCTATACATCACAGAAAGTATGATAAAATAAGTTAAACAAGTAGGTGCTTAAGATACGCTTTCGACTCTTTATCTTCTATATATATATATATATATATATATATTTTTTTTTTGTGCGAAATTTTTCAATAGTTACGAAACCATATAAACTTTTTACGTGTGGAGGGAGTGTGTGCGTGAATTTTCTTGTCAAACATTTCTATTCTATAGTCTGATGTCTTCAAATTAGCTTGTATTTCTGTAGTTCAACTTGAGCGTGGGGTTTCGTAGCCATGATTACGTGTACATATTCATATATGACGGAGGCATGCACGGAGAAGTGAAAAAGTTTTCCTTCATTTTTGCCGATTACTTCGACTGACAGCTGGCGTTCATTTCTTTCTTCATATTTTTTAACAATTGTTTCCTTTTTCTTTATTTTCCTTTCTTTTGTGACTATTTAAAGAAATTCTCAAACATACATATACTCCTCTATGTAGCACGAAACACTCATATAGGTAAAAACACAATAAAGGATATGTTGGTGTTGCAGTTGAATGTCGCTCCTGTGCGCTGCGATAGCAGTCTATTGTTGTTTATGTAAGAAGTACGTGGTTTACGTGTATTGAATTATATAACGATCACTCGTAATTGTTATTTATAAACTGTAGTTCTTTCGTTAAAGGACTTGCACTTTGGATAAAGCAATTGCAAGGATTTTCGATCAATTCTCATATGAGAGATAAATTGAAAATCCTTTAAAAAAGCCTTACAACCACATGTTTGAAAAAAAAAAAAAAAAAAAAAAAAAAAAAAAACAGAAAATAAAAGAAAAAAATGAATAAAATCATGATCTGCGAGAGTAAAGGATTAAAAATTGTATATAAATAATTAAAACGTTAGGCAAAAATTACGAATCACAAATGCTTTGTTTCGGGCGATCTTTTCGGACCGATTTTATATCTTATTTTCATATGATCCATGTTTGCAGACAATTCTAAATTTTTGATAAGCAAAATATTATCGCAAAATATGTAACAAAAAAGAAAAATAAAAGAAAAAACAAGGTTTTATTCCTTCGGCTAAGACGTCTTAACGATGAGGGATACAAAAACAAGCGGGACAATAGGTACACGAACGGGCAAGCTATAATCAACTTTAAATTTTAAACTGATCAAAAGTGAAAGCTGCGTAGCTCTAATTATTACCGTTGGAATGACACAGGGAGTTAGCATAGCTAACATAGCTAGGTTATGAAAAACCAGATGCACAATTTTAAATGTCGGAGAAATGAAAAGAAGTTGTTCATTGGATATATACGTCATCGTCAGCTAAAAACGTTCGCACCCTTTAGACAATTTGTTGATACCATATCAAGGAAAGTCTATCCATTTGCCTGCGAATCATTCATTAATCGAGACATTTTTTTCACTTCTTTATATAAACCAAGGCTCTGCTCAGCAAGTGTCTGATCCATCGATCGGAGGGAAACGAATTCAATGTGAACGAGTATTGCCGACGAAGCAGCGAGCTTGTGTTGTCCTTTTTTTGATATTCTCGCTACTTTTTAAAAAAGCGTAAATAACGTATGGTATTGACCATCCCACTCAGCTCGTAAAAGACAAGACTGTTCTGGGTCAGACCACAGACAGGTCATCATATTTCTGCTAAAGCCACTCCTGCCTTGTGAACGATGTGAATGATGGAGTTGTAATCTATTCATAGTCTTTTAAAGTTTCGGTATAGATATAAATTCGCTTTTCATCCTCAAAAACGACGCGATGCCAAAACGATTTTCTCTATATCACCGAAGCAATATTTCACATCTATGTTTATGACTGTTCCCAACTGATTACAGTGTGATCTGTTTGTGAGAAATCCGCATTTCATTCTTGTTCAACTAGTATATCATGAAAGTAAAACGATGCGTCGGCGTTATATCTCAGATTCAAGTCATTCAAAATTTTGAAAATCGTCTTTTTGACTTAAAGTTCTCGTATCATTTCAAGAGAACTGATTGCTAAATTTTTTGCAAATTTTGTCGTCGAGATAATACAGGGAATATTCATTTTATTTAAGAGTTTTACAAGCGATGAGAAAAAATTGTGTTGTTAACCGTTTGCCGCCGAAATTATTAAAGAAATCATTTTCGCTAGTTACGTAACTCATTATCAAGTTTCGTCTGTCCAATCGGATAATCGTTTGATTGCAAATTTCGTGTCACCGGATCAGATCGTAATGATACCTTTACCCTTACAAAGTTTGTAAGAATTAGTCAGGGGTGCTTTAGAACATAGCTTGCGAGTAGCTTTTAAGGGGTAAATAGAAAAATACAAGCAAAAACTTTATATTCGACTGTAAGCGAATCTTTTATACACGTGTTTACGTTTAGTAAAAAAAAAAGAAAAACGAAAAAATGAATTTTCCAGTGCGAGGGGCTGACTTTATTAGTTTTTGTAGGATGCATGAGTAATGAGCAAAAACTCAATGGGCAATGTTACGCTCAGCTCAGCTTACGTTGCGCCATAGGCGTTTGCTCCGGCTGATGTTTTCCCTCCCATTTTTAATATCAACTTGTTGTTGTTTGGACACTTCTTATGTTTCTGCCAAATGTGAAGCTAATAAATAATTGCATTTTCAAGGTTGGAAGGAAACATTACACAAACGGATCAAAAGACATGATTGATTTGATTCAGAATTTAATGCTGGTTAAAAATGCGTTGTCGCTAAGACTCTTCTAAGACTCGTTCTGGATGTCGCAAACACGTTGACAAAATGAATATGCGTCTCTACTACGTGGTGGTGGTCGACGTCAAAAAAACTTGAACAAATAAGAGCCTTAAGCTTTAGATTTAAAGAATCAAAGTTTTTTGTTGTGTTTTTCAAAAAAAAAAAAAAAAAAAAAAAAAAAAAAAAAACCCTTTCAAATAAATATTTATGTAAAATTAATAAATTTTCCTTTTTTTTGCTTGTTTCCAGTGAATGCTTTGCTAATCCCATATGCTATGTGAATATATTTATAAACTACCAGCACGTAAGTCATAGTGTTTATTAAATAAATGTAAATATAATATAAGATTTTTGCTGAGATATTTATTGAAATTAAAACTTAATCCATTTTCAAGTGGGGACAAAAAAGTTGTAAATGCAAAGCGCAGCTATAGTGAGTGCTTTGTTTTACCGATTGGGTACATAGATCCACTAGGTTACGGCTATTTCTCTTGATCCCTTTCCTAAGTTCTACACGAATGCGGGATATTCTCTGAATTAATATAAATATAAATATATATAAAAAAAAAAAAACAAAACGCAGAGACCCTGACTCTTTTGCTTTGCTCAGCAAAGAATTCGTAGAGTAACACAAATTTACTCCCAATGTATGAAATTGTTTACTGCAAGCGTTCCGAGCTTGATGTTAGCGGCAAAATCTATAAAACACCTAAATACAGTCTGTTGTTATTATAATTATTATAACTTATTTAGGCCAAAAGAATGAACCCTAAGAGTAAAGGTAGGGAAAGCACAAGTCGCTTACTAAGGCGATCAACTTCTCCTATTTTTTCCCCTTTTTTTTAGGTCTGTTAAATGGTTACTTCAACAGGCCTTATAAAATTAAAAAGTCTTAAAAGCCTGATTGATATTAAGTTCTAAAGGTATTTTCGACATGACCATAGGATTATATGTTTCAAAAACAAATTTTCGAATATTAGAAAGATTTTGGCATTAATTGTTGGAGGAGTAGAATTCTTAAATCCATCCATTCATATGCTGCAATGATGAGCCCAAGGGGGATTCTTACAACTGTTTCGACCTCGACGATTTTCCCGACATTGATTTGATGTAGAGGTGGAACGTCATTGGTAGCATATAACCAGATTTAAAAGGTGTGTGAAAAGTGTGTTTACAGAATGTGTTTGAAGAATCGATTTCAAATGCATTATTTTGCGGTAAAGTCGATCAAAGATTGAATGAAAAAGAAAAACGAAATCCAATCGTATTTTACATGCGAAGTAATTTTCGCATGAAAGTCTCCTTCAAGATGATGAAATTTGCAAAATTAATTAATTTTCAATTTTCATCTCACTGCGTCACCGAACAACTGCTTGCAACTATTAACAATAATAATTTGAATTGCTAGCAAAAAGCACATTCTTGTTTCAAGTTAGCCTTTGGCAAACACAAAAGTTCACATGGACACTAACTGAATCGTTACCCTGAAGTTATCGCAATAACTCAAAAAAAGAAGAGAGAAAGAGAAAGAGAAAGCTTAAGCTTATCAAGCATATCTGTATGTTAATTTCTATCGTGTTGTGCATGTAACCGTTCAACAATCCCCTAAAACCACTTGTTTGCCAATAGCATATATAACCATTAGTCTATTTTTCTCATACTGAATAATTGATTGATTGTCGACCGAAATGCTTGAAATTTATTTCTGGCTGCCTTTTTTTTTTTTTTTTTTTTTGGATATTTTATGCTTAGGGATAGAATGGTCTCGCTAACAGGAATGAGTGCAAATAGGTGAAGCATTACAATCAAGTAAGCTTAGGTTATGGTTACAGTGTAATCTATTGACGACATATTTCGAAGGTTTGAAATTAGTTTAGAAAATCGCGCTTAGTAATTCAGTATGTCCGTAACGGCCATCGTATCACATATAAATGTGACTTTTTTTGATTTTTGGGGCGATAATGGAAAGGATGTACGATGATAATCTTGCCATGATGAGCGGCCTATAAATGCACATAATGCTCGCGTGCAGATATCAGATTGTGTATCGCTTACCTGTTTTGCTTTCACGCTTTAAAATATAACGATCCCCCCGGGTAGTAAGAGTAAGTAAGTTTTCAGTTAAGATAATTTCTAAATCGGCTTCAGCTTTCTGTTCCACCTATGTGCCACGTTATTAACCCGATATTACTGAACATATATGTATATATATATATATATATGTATATTTGATGTGGAGATTGTTGGTGCAGTACTGGCCGTCTCTTTTCCAATGGCGTGTACTCGTCATCAGAATCGCTTCCACTTGTGGAGGTAACTTGTTTGGGCTATCAGTGCACTGCACTCTGTGACTACCATTGTAATAATGACTTTTTTAGGTCATCTAACATTGCTTCTACTTTTTCCATCGATTTAGTCAATGTGCCTTGAGTCCATACTTAATACATGTATTCTCCATGCACCGTCTTGGTGCGATTGTATTTCGATATAAACAGATTTCCAAAGATTTGAAGTTAAAATCTCGTAAAATTAAGCATCAATGAGAAAATGGTCAAAAGCATCGCATTTGCCACGAACCCGACATTTCTATGTGAGTTTGCCATCATTTATTTGCGAATTCAAGTGAGCATCGAAACACTTTAAATGAGAAAAAATGGACGCTTGGCATAATAGAGATATTCGAACTTTTTAACAGGGTTCACTGTTCAATAGAATCTTTAGCATTGTCGTGGCAATCTAATTGTCGGCATTTTTTCACAAAGTTTCTCATTAATTGGAGTTCTGGTATAAAGCCGTGGGCACAGTCAGTGGCACCTTTTTCACTCTTCTTATTATATGAGAAATCAAATCGAAAGTCGAAGATTTCATCGCCATTGAATTTACTCAAGGATCAAGAATTGACTTATTATCCTTCTCGTTTCTATATGATTAAGTGAATTTATGTTTCGTTTCCGAGAAAACGAAATGTATAGGGAAATGTCAAACTGTGAAAAATAATATGTAACGAGCTCGAATGCGAAAGGGTTACGTTATCTTTATCTATCCGGGATCCAAGCTGTATGAAATCAACTCAAATCGAAACTCGAGTGATTTCTATAAGAAGTTCGGCAATTATTTACAAACAAAGAAGATATCTTGCTGCAATATTTTCAAATAGAGAGGATAGAGAGGACATAGCTAAGACAATAAAGTGTACTTTTTCCATATTTTACATTTCCTTAACCTAGGGCAGCTGAAGGTACATTTGCTTGATACATTATAGTGACTAAATTTTGGATCATGCATTTTTATCCATAACACTAATTGGCATTTCATTGTTGTTAGTTCTCTTAGTGAATCCGTTGCTTATATTAACAACATATCGGCGCACACAATTGATTTGTTGTTTTTAAATCTGTCATCCATACATATAAACTGTATCACATACGTGGCTGGGAAATTGGCTGGCGCGGCAATCCTGAATAACACAACTGTGCGTTTTCCTGTCACTTCGTTCGTGTTTTACCCGGAACGTTTTGTGTACGTATTATAGAATATAGAAAGCATAACCCGAAAATGTACATGGAAAAAGAGGTGAATGTAATACACACGCCCTAAGGCAGAATTATTAAATGTTTCGCAGAGGTTTCCTTTGTAGCTTTTCCCACCAACACTTACCAAAAAATTTGACATTTGTCGGTTTACGCTACTGCGCCTTTTGCTTGTACACAAATTATTACAATCAAGTCACAAATGCATAAAAAAAAGTTTAGGGTAGATGGGCAGGTAAAGGCATTCCGTTAACACCTTTCGAATTTCTAAAAGCGAAATAAAATTGTTATTGTCACAAAAAGTGGATTTGTAGCAACGGCTTTATTTATGTTCTTTTTTTATATTTTTGCAAGAGAAACAATGAAATTGGATAAATGCTATGATTTCTTTAGCAGGGGTTATAGTAATCACCAAACAAGGCAACATATAAAATAAGAAAATTGCTTAAAAGTTAACTGTGATTACGTCTACGAGACGAAGGGATTCCTTTTTTACAATGGGTTTGAGAAGAGTCCCAATGCAAATTTTGTACGAGATTTCGTAGCAATTTTTCTTATTTTTTTTTTTTTTTTTTTAACCTAAAGGCAGCAACAGCAATCTGGTGGGGTCCATCTGTCCGGCTTCTTGTTTAAGTTGTAATTACGATTTCAAAACGTCACGCTAAATAATGAGTTCTCGCTCAAATTTTCTGTTTTGCTTATGATAATTTGGTCTCAAAAATGAATAAAATTCCCCTGCAATTACGGGTGAAAGGCATTGCAATAACATAATATATTTGGGAAAATTTTTAAGCATAAACAAAAAAAAAAAAAAATATTTCAAATTTTTAAAAAATTGCAACACAGTGTAACTGATACAAACTTCAATCTAAATTTTGAAAAGAAAAAGATGCTTAAGCTATAAATTTGTAAGATAGGGAATCAATTATTATTATACAAGAAAAATATTGATTTTTGCTTGACTGGTCAATCAATAATGGAATGAAGATATCAAATTTTCCACCCAAAAGGGAGGCAGTTTGCAATCAAATAAATTTAGTTTGAACTAACTTCATCAAAATTTTCTTCAGATAACAAATCACCCCAACCCCAACCCCCCCTTCCGTCTCCTCTAGGAAGCATCCATTAAGCCATTGAAAAAAAGGAACAACAAATTTTGGAGAAATGTACACAAGTGCTCCCCGCCTAATGGAATGAAACTACGTTTTGTTTATTTTATTCCGTCTTTTCGTCGCCTTCGTCTTCTTTTTGCACTGTAACTACTTATTTTACCGTCCGGTTACATTACATTGTAAGTGTAGGTTACACTCTAAATATGTAAGATAAGAGCAACTGATTAAATGCAAGGTACACGGTGCTGCAAGATATAGATTGTGAGCGGCGAGTTTAACGGAAAAAATTTTAACTACAAAATGATTTATCTCACATTTGTATTTTTGTACATAAACTTGCTTGTAATCGCTTGTAACAGACCGAAAGTGAGCGAAGGAGGATGTACAAGTTCCTGTTTGATGAGAAAATGGGAGGAGGAGATAATGATGATTAATCGATTTTCGACGAATATTTCGACGAAATGGAATGACTTATCTGCCAACTAGGCTTGGATCCTTTATGAAAGACGTAAAATTGAAGTTAAGAAAAGTTATTTTCTGGTTAGTAGAGATGCCGCCGGCGGTCGGGTACACTAAAACGATGCTTGTTGACATATTAAAGACACAATCAAATTAATGCAATTTCAAAAAATGTTTTTATGAACAAATTTCGAAAAAATGAA